CGCAATGTAAATGGATGGCTACACTCGGCTCTAGTCACGGGTACTATTTGTTTTGCCGCAGACGGCTGCATTATCTGGGCCAAGCATAATTGCCCTGGATCCTGGAACGATTCAGATACGTCTCTCGGTTTCCGCATGAAACTTCTGGATCCTGTGTATTGCCCTGACGAACGCATGAACGTTGTGTCAGACTCCGCCTTCCCGTGCTCCACGGCAACGACAGGCAGGATCCTGACTCCGCTGAAAGACGGAGATCTCGAGAGAATTGAACCGTCGCTTCGGAGTTCAGCGCGGACGCTGCACAACGCCATCACTTCGGTGAGGCAGGCTGCAGAGTGGGGAATGGGCAGCGTGCAGAAGGTCTATAGTCGCCTAAATGTGCCGCTGCCCTACGATCCGAATCTCCGTGGTCTAAGGCTCAACAACATATTCCGTATGGCGAATTACCGCGTGCGGGCGGTGGGTATCTCGGAGATACGAACAACGTTTATGGGAGCGATGGAGATGACGTTGTAGCTCCAGCTGGGTGGTGGGGATTGGGAGAACTTGGATATGTTCATTTGCATGACTAGCTTTTACCCAAGAAAGAATACAAGTGCGGTTATCGGACATTTTCAGCCGTGTCGGTGGTTGCTTGGCTCGCTACGGAGGGCTGGTTTCAAAATGCAACGCTACAAAATACACTTCCTCCCTCTCGGTCCATTCCCGACGGGTGCTTTCGGTTCTGCGAATCTGATCTCTTCACTCCTTCTTCACCAGAGCACTGATGAAGAACATCAGTTCCTGGGAGTGCGCACGGGCCTCCTCTTTATCGCGGCGAGCTCGTTCCTCCGTCTCCAGCTTCTCTTGCCGATGGCGTTCTTCGGCCTCCAGCTTCTCGGCGCGGTAACGCGCCTCGCGCGCCATGGCTTCATCGCGGCGACGCTGCTCTTCTTCCGCCCGGCGAGCTTCACCCCTACGTTCGCTATCCTCACGCATGAGGATCATCAGCTCGACAATATTTGTACCCATGGCCCCGGACGAGCTTTCTAGGTCACCCAAGCGCTTCTTCAGCTGTGTGGCCGCCTTGATAGCCTTCGCCCGCTTCACCTTGGCGTAACTCGCCTCGTGAAGGTCTTGGTCGTCGTCGGCATCTCGCTTGCGGCCAATGGTTCCACGAAACTCGGCAAGATTGCCCCCTCCAAGGCGGTTGGAGTAGCTAAGATAGCGCGTCGATTCCGCAGCACGGCGCGAACGATCGGCTGAGCTCTGCTCTTCGAGGACCGCAATTGAGGTTGTGTTTTGCGATTGACTGGGCTTCGGTAGACCAGCAGAGCGAAGCTCGCGTTGAGTGGATCGGTCGGGCCCAGATGATGACCTCGGAGTGCTGGCGAATGCCTCCAACCCGTCATGAACAGCGGCAGACTCGAGGATCTCGGCGAAGCTACTGGCTGCGTCCGTGAGGTTGATACCCGGTTCGTTGGGCAAACTGGGCAAACTGCTGGATCCCTCACGGTGAGGAGTATCGGTGTTGGAGAGGCTTCCACGGGCAGAGTCAGTCGTGTTGCTCACTGAGCTGGAGTCGTTGCCGATCCCGTCGTCTCCATCAAAGTTAAAGGAGAAATCTGGGTGCTGCTCACCCTCTTCCTCCTGTTGGTCATCTACGTCGGCTCCGTCGTCCATCTCCTCAACACTCGCCTTATCGTCGATACTTTGCTTGAGCTGTTTAGCTTCCTTCACGTGGGGAGGCATGTCAGCGACTCCCGTGGGCTTACGGATACTGTACAGCATCTTGAACTTGCGCCGGAGACTCTCGTAGTCGCGCTCGCCAATGCCCCGACCGCGGTTCGAGTTGTACATGCTGGCAAGACGCTCCCATTCGTCCTTACCAAGCGGCAAGAACTTAGCAACAAGACTCAGCAGGCGTTGCACCTCCGTGAACTTGTAGTTGGTGGATCCAGTTAGTTTAGCCATCTATCATGAATTAAACAGCAATTGATGAGACGTCAGTACGAAGTAGAGGAAGCAATGAAGAGATTGGCAGCGTACCGGGACGAAGTGAGCGCAAGAGGCGATCGAAGACAAACACTTGGTCGGGAACGGGGCTTGGACTTGCTCGGATGGGAGTAAAACCAAAAATGAGACTTCGGGGACGTCGTTCGCTGTGTCTGGAGGCCGCACTGTGGCAGCGCGCCCTAGGACGCGTGAGTAGCTAGCTATCACAAGGGTTCGCGCCGAAACGAGCGCGCGCTAACAAAGATCTACGAGCTCACGAACCATACAGTATGGAGTCGCGTTTTGGCGCGAAACCCGTGCTTGCACAGCTTCAACGTTGACGCTAAGCTTCGATATGTGAGGGAACCAGCTTTACTTCAACGTCCAAGTAGCATATCGAAGATGAGCATTTGTCTTTACAGTAGGTTTGTATGCACGGGCTACCTACACTCATCACGTCTCCTGACAGCACGTCGGCTACGGATCGCTCTGGTCCTGGATCTCACGATGACGACAGGAGGCGAGACCACAGCGGCACACGAACCAAAGATCACCGCCATAGTCAACGGTGATCTCCTCTCCTTCACGTACGATCTCTGTAGTGGCGACAATAACCGTGGCGCGGTGTCCGTTCGCGACCTCGACGAACTGATCGACCGGTGAACACGAGTGGTTCACAAAACGCATCAATCCACCCATTTCAGCTGCGTTGATGGCGACACGAATCGGGTGGCTTGGCCTCTTCGGTCGTTGGGTCATCACCAACCGGAATCCTTCGTTCCGTGGGCGACGTGCTGGATCCATGCTGACGTGCTCGAACTCGCCTAAGTACTGACCCAACACCTCGCCTG